GGGAGCAGTGGCTCATGCCTTCAATTCCAGCACTTCGGGAGGCCAAGACGGGGGGATCACCTGAGATCAGCCTAACCAACATGGTGAAACCCCATCTCTACTAAAAATACAAAAAATTAGCCAGGCATGATGGCGGGAGCCTGTAATCCCAGCCACTGGGGAGGCTGAGGCAGGATAATCACTTGAAACCAACCGGGAGGTGGAGGTTGCAGTGAGCTGGGATTGCGCCATTGCACTCCAGCCTCGGTGACAAGAGCAAAATTCTGTCTCAAAAAATAAAGTCACTTTTTTTTTCTGATTAAACTTTGTTTCAATGGGTCTCAAAATTCTGTGACAGATTCTTGGTCAAGTTGTTTCCATTAAAAAGTACTGATTTTAAAAGCAAATAACTTAAAACTGCCACACGCGAAAAAAGGAAACCAAAGTGAAAGTGGTCCACAAAACATTCTCCTTTCCTTCTGAAGATTTTGTGATGCATTGTTACCATTAACCAGTCTCTTACTATTAAACTTAAATGGCCAATTGAAACAAACAGTTCTGAGACTGTTCTCCCACCACTGATTACGAAGACCGGGTGGCAGGTATTGGGAAGAATATTCACTTAGACTTCTGAGCTTTCTGGGGAGACTCGGTGACCTTGCCCCCTCCAGTAGCCTTCTTGTCCACTGCTTTGATGACAGCCACTACAGCTGTCTGCCTCATATCACGAACAGCAAAGCAACCTGGAGATGGATAGTCTGAGAAGCTCTCAACAGACACGGGCTTGCCAGGAACCATATCAACGATGGCAGCATCACCAGACTTCAAGCATTTAGGGCTATCTTCCAGCTTTCTACCAGAATGGCGATCAAATCTTTTGCTTCAGCTCAGCAAATTTGCTTGGAATGTGAGTTGTGTGCACTGGGGCATAGCCAGCACTGATTTGGCCTGGATGGTTCAGGATAATCACCTGAGCAATGAAACAAGCTGCTTCCACTGGTGGGTCGTTTTTGCTGTCACCAGCTACGTTGTCATGGCCAACATCCTTGATGGACACATTCTTGACATTAAAGCCCACGTCGTCCCCAGGAAGAGCTTCACTCAGAGCTTCATGGTGCATTTAATTTCAGTTGTAATGTTGACTGGAGCAAAGGTGACCACCACACCAGGCTTGAGAACACCAGTCTCCACTCAGCCAAGAGGAACAGTACCAATACCACCAATTTTGTAGACCTCCTGGAGAGGCAGGCACAAGAGCTTGTCAGTTGGACGAGTCGGTGGCAGGATGCAGTCCAGAGAGCCTCAAGCAGCAGGTTCCACTGGCATTTCCATCCTTACCGGTGACTTTCCATCCCTTGAACCAAGGCACGTTAGCATGTTGTCACCATTCCAACCAGAAATTGGCCACTTATTACTTTCCCTAAAGCCTTCCCTGCCAGAAATATTTCTAGAATAAAACAGGTTAAACCGCTGATGACCTTGGTCCACTTAATCTTATCATGTCTGGCTTCCATCATGAACCAATTAATTACATACATTAATCCGGTGAGACCAATCACCTAGGCATGGAATGGTATTTTGAAATTACTTCCCAAGGCCGTTTAGGAATCACTATTATAAAATGACACATGCATTCATATGTTCACTGCAGAACTATTCACAATAGCAAAGAATGGAATTGACCTAAATGCCCATCAATGACAGACTGGATAAAGAAAATGTGGTACATACACACCATGGAATACTATGCAGCCATAAAAAGGAATGTGATCATGTCCTTCGCAGGACCATGGATGGAGCTGGAGGCCATTATCCTTAGCAAACTAACACAGGAACAGAAAACCAAATACCTCATGTTCTTATTTATAAGTACCAACGAAATGATGAGAACACAGGGACACATAGAGGGGAACAACCCGCACTCTGGAGCCTATCAGAGGGTGGGGGGTGAGAGGAGGGAGAGGATCAGGAAAAATGGCTAATGTGTACTAGGCTTAATACCTGGGTGATGAAATGATCTGTCAACAAGCCCCCACTACACAAGCTTACCTATGCAACAAACCTGCGCATGGACCCCTGAAATTAAAAGTTAAAAAGAATCATGCAAGAAAATCTTAACATTGGGAGCCAAAGTCAGACACCTACAGAGGCCAGGCAGGTAGCATAAATGAGGAGGACCCCACAGGGATAAGACGGGAGTGCGTGGAGACTGTGAGGGTCTCCGGAGAATAGGCACCATCTGAAGGGCCCCACCCCTTCCGCGCTCTGGCAGATTGTTGTCACGAAGAAACGTGAGCCTCGTGTTGCTAGACCTTATTTTTCAAATGAAGCCAGAAACACAGTTTTTATGTGAAATCTCTCAATGTTTAAGTGTTAGATGACTAACTCAGAGAAGCAAACAAACAAACAACATTAGCAGGGCCAAAAACAACAGAAACTTTCAGGCTAATAGCTCATGAGCTTTTCTTTAAAATCATGTCAGCTTTGACTTAAAAAAAGGATTACCTCTGCCACTACCCCCTACCCTGCCCAATCCACTTCACTGGGTATACCTGGGTCCAGATTGCTTTTGCAACCCTAAAAAAGGCAAAAGGTAAGACTTGCCTGTCTTAACTGTACTGAAGTAATGTTTAAAACCTCAGTGTATGAAGTTGTTTATATTGTTAATGGGGACTCTCCTCCAACATGCTTTTTTTTTTTTTTTTTTTTGAAAAATGGCAGCAGTGGGCAGGGAGTGGTGGCTCACACTTTTAATTCCAGCACTTTGGGAGGCCAAGGAAGGCGGATCACCTGAGGGCAGGAGTTTGAGACCAGCCTGGCCAATATGGTAAAACCTTGTCCCTACTAAAAAATGCAAAAAATTAGCAGGGTGTAGTGGCGCTTGCCTGCAATCCCAGCTACTTGGGAGTCTGAGGCAGGAGAATCTTTTAAACCCAGCAGGTGGAGGTTGCAGTGAGCCAAGACTATGCCATTGCACTCCAGCCCAGGCAACAGAGCAAGACTGTGCAAAAGAAAGGAAGAAAGAAGAAATAAAAATAGAAAAGAGAGAAAGAAGTAAGAAAGAGAAAGGCAGAAAGGAAGGAGGGCGGGCGGGCGGAAGGAAGGAAGGAAGACGGCAGCAGAGTCTGACAAGCGCACATGCCGCCTGGAGGCAGTGGCAGTCATATATGCCTTCTCAGTGATTCAGTGAGGCAATAAATGCCACAGTGACTTGAAAGTATGAGGAAGCCATTAGCACTGCTCCAGTGACCACATATTTTTGCTTCCTCTTCTCCAAACTGATCTGCCATATTACATTTTTTTTTTTGAGACGAAGTCTCACTCTCTTCCCCCAGGCTGTAGTGCAATGGTGCAATCTCGGCTCACTATAATCTCTGCCCCCTCCCCCGAGTTCGAGTGATTCTCCTACCTCAGCCTCCTGAGTAGCTGGGATTACAAGTGCCGGCCATCATGCCTAGCTAATTTTTGTATTTTTAGTAGAGAGGGGGTTTTACCATGTTGGCCAGGCTGGTCTCGAACTCCTGCCCTCAGGTGATCACCTGCCTTGGCCTCCCAAAGTACTTGATTACAAGCATGAGCCACGGCACCCTACAAATTGTTGTAATTTTAGTAGAGATGGGGTTTCACCATATTGGCCAGGCTGGTCTCAAACTCCTGCCCTCAGGTGATCTGCCCCCTCCCCTTGGCCTCCCAAAATGCTGGGATTACAGGTGTGAGCCACCGAGCCCAGCCTGGGAACTCTTTAAGATAGTCTCAGTGATAAAGACTGATAAATCTTAGAACAATCACAGCACATAGTAAAGACACAGTAAATACTCATTAAATTGAAAAACTGAAAGTGATTTGTTTCCTTTAGATTCCATATATCTGACACAACTTACCTGATTACTCCCTTCTCATTAATTTATTAGCACCTATGCCGTGTGAATACAGTGAGGCGGAGAACTGTGAAAACTAGTCACTGACATCAATCACACTGCTCCAGGTTGGAGGTAAGCAAGAGAAGGACATTGAAGGAAGGTAGAGGTCACAGTGAGAATGTTAAGGACATGGTGGGACACTGTAAAGTGGTGGTCACAGTTGGGTTTTGCATACACATCTGCACAGGTTTTGTATGGTGACAAAACAATGGCACTGAGGATAGATCCCTGACTCAGCTTACCTCATCAACTTCACCATTTGCCTACCAGCCCAGCCCACCCTTCCTGGACCCAGAAGGAGGAGCTCACATGCTTCTCCCGGTGCCCCCTGCTTTCTCTCCGTGCGGAAACACTCTCCAGCCCCACACCCCCACGCCAAGCCCTGGCCCTCCTCTCTCAGAGTCTCTGCTCACTAGAGGAAAGGGAAACACTTTCATTATCAATTGCTCAGGCTTTGACCAGCATCAGGTGGACCCTGCTGCCTTTCAAGCAGTGTTTGACAGAAAGGCCTTCAGTTCAGTCACCAACTACAGCATCCCCACTCATGTCAACAGCTCCTTCACCCTGTCTGCCATCTGAAGTGGTAAGTCCTCACCCAATGTTGCAGTTGGAATGGGCTAGGACTGAGCAGTGGATCCTCTGATTGGATTTTTTTTTTTTTTTTTTTGAGATGGAGTCTCTCTCTTGTTACCTAGGCTGAGGTGCAGTGGTGTGATCTCGGCTCACTGCAACCTCCACCTCCTGGGTTCAAGTGATTTTCCTGCCTCTGCCTCCCAAGTAGCTGAGATTACAGACACCCACCACCACATCCAGCTAATTTGTGTATTTTCAGTAGAGATGGGGTTTCACCATGTTGGCCAGCCTGGTCTCAAACTGCTGACCTCAAGTGATCCGCCTGCCTTGGCTCCCAAAGTGCTGGGATTTTTGTAAAATTAGTTACTCACAGCAACCAAAAAAAACCAAACAACCCAATTCAAAAATGGGCAAAGGACTTGCGTAGACATTTCTCCAAAGAAGATATACAAGTAGCCAATAAGCACAAGAATAGTTAAGAAAATGCAGATCAAAACTACAATAAGATACCATCTCACACCCGCTAGGATGGCTGCTATTAAAAACAAACAGAAAATAACAGGTGTTGGTGATGACGTGGAGAAATTGGAAGCCATGTGCACTGCTTGTGAGGATGTAAAATGGTGCAGCCACTGTGAAAAAACAGTATAGCTGTTCCTCAAAGTATTAAAAATAGAATTACTGGCCGGGCACGGTGGCTCACGCCTGTAATCCCAGCACTTTGGGAGGCCGAGGCAGGTGGATCACGAGGTCAAGAGATCGAGACCATCCTGGTCAACAGACCATCGTGGTCAACATGGTGAAACCCCGTCTCTACTAAAAATACAAAAAATTAGCTGGGCATGGTGGCGGGTGCCTGTAATCCCAGCTACTCAGGAGGCTGAGGCAGGAGAGTTGCCTGAACCCAGGAGGTGGAGATTGCGGTGAGCCGAGATCGCGCCATTGCACTCCAGCCTGGGTCACAAGAGCGAAACTCCATCTCAAAATAAATAAATAAATAAATAAATAAAAATAGAATTACTGGCCAGGCATGGTGGCACATGCCTATAATCCCAGCCCTTTGGGAGGCCGAGGTGGGCGGTCACGAGGTCAAGAGATTGAGACCATCCTGGGCAATATGGTGAAACCCCGTCTCTAATCTCTACTAAAAGACGAAAATTAGCTGGGCATAGTGGCGTGTGTCTATAGTCCCAGCTACTCGGAAGCTGAGGCAGGGGAATCTCTTGAACCTGGGAGGTGGAGGTTGCAGCGAGCCAAGATCGCAAAGAGTGGGTGGTGGCATTGGACGTGCTTCCTGGAGTTAATCATCTAGATGAAAGCTGCTTTTCCAGGATTCACGCCTTCAGCAGCGACCTCGTTCCTGTGGCTAAATATGGTATGACAGACTCAGTTTCCCCTTTCCTCTTCTCTGGTACCCCCTTTTTCACTCCCAGGTCCAGCTTTGCAGATTATATTGGATAAAGCTGAGAATATCCATAAATTAGACAAGTTCAAATAGTCAGACCAATAATGAAAATAGAAAAGTTTCTGATTATTCTGCCAGTTTAGGAGGGCAGAGAAAGGGCACAGGGAGAAGGTGGCATACGCTAAGGCCCTGGGAGCCAATAGGTATGTGGCTCCATCCCAGGGAATCCCGAGCCAAGCTCCAGCTCTGCCTTGAGAACACCGAGGTAGAGGGGGAAGCAAGAAACGCTTTGTTAGTGTGACGACTGTCACCAGAGAGAGGGTGGGAGAGTGAAGAAACGGGTGAAAAAAGGAACAGGAAGGTGCAGAAGACACAGCAAAACTAAAACTAGTTCCGTCCCCCGATTCTCTCACGCCAGGTTTCCTATAGATCCGGCACAGTCAGTTCTTTTTCCTGTTGTTTCTTTCTTTGAGACAGAGTCTCGCTCTGTCACCCAGGCTGGAGTGCAGTGGTGCAATCTCAGCTCACTGCAACCTCTGCCTCCCGGGTTCAAGCCATTCTCCTGCCTCCAGCCTCAGCCTCCCGAGTAGCTGAGATTATAGGCAACTGCTACCACGCCCAGCTAATTTTGGTATTTTTAGTAGAGACGGGGTTTCACCATGTTGGCTAGGCTGGTCCTGAACTCCTAACCTTCAGTGATTTCCCCAGCTCAGCCTCCCAAAGCACTGGGATTACAGGCATGAGCCCCTGCACCTGGCTTTGGCACAATCAATTCCTGCAGTGGAACGCAGATGAACCCGGAGGCATCAAGAAGTCTGGCCGGCATGGCAGACATCTGAGAACATGAGAAGACATCTGAGAACCTATGGCTTCCAGATGTCTTCATCGAGCATTTGGGAGTATCAGGGCCAAAAACGCCAGAAGGAAACCACATCTACAGGGAAGGACATGATGTACCAACAGGGCTGCACAAAGACTCGACTTAGAAAAGAGCAGGGTCTAAACTGAAGGACTTACAAACTCCCAGAATGTGGTTGTAGGTAGAAGAGAGAAGTCATCTGAGTGGGGCTGGAGCTCAAGAATGGGGTGACCTGAGAGAGAAAGAAGGCCACATTTGATGGGGAAACCCAAAGCGCCATGGCACCTACCTCCCTGTCCTTCTCCCACGCAGCATCAGTGGGGATCAGACACCTGCATGTCTCAGGGCTTCTGTCAACAGTGAAGGTCACATCAGATGCAATAAGCCGATGCGGTGGTCGGCATCTGTAAACTGGACAGCTTCTATTTCCCCTTCGATGAACAGAGCTGCATGCTCTCCTTCAGCTCTTTCACCTGCTAAGTTAAGTGGGGCTCATTAGAGTAGACTGCTGAGAGGCAGACAAAGGGCTTTGAGTGAGCAGAGGACAGAAAGCTGGGAATTGCGAGGGAATCTTGAACTCCTGGCCTCAGGTGATCTGCCCGCCTTGGCCTCCCAAAGGTGTGAACCACAGAGCTGGCCTTTTTCACTCTTACTCTTTTTTTTTTTTTTTTTTGAGATGGAGTTTTGCTCTTGTCACCCAGGCTGGAGTGCAATGGCGAAATCTCAGCTCACTGCAACTTCCGCCTCCTGGGTTCAAGCGATTCTCCTGCCTCAGCCTTCTGAGTAGCTGGGATCACAGGCCCACACCACCATACCAGACTAGTTTTTGTATTTTTAGTAGAGATGGGGTTTCACCACATTCATCAGGCTAGTCTCGAACTCCTGACCTCAGGTGATCCGCCTGCCTCAGCATCCCAAAGTGCTGCGATTCCCAAAGTGCTGCGATTACAGGTGTCATCCACCACCCCACACACAGCTTTTGTCGCTCTTTTCACTGATAAACCTTCAGTACTAAAACAGTACTTGTGCTCAGTAAATAGTTGTTCAATAAATCATCCCTTGAGGAAAGAACGAAGCCTCTATGCCAGTGATTCACACTCAGAATGCGCTTCCCCTTCCCCAGCGGCTGTCAGAACTTTTGGGAAGACAGAAACTTTTGTTTCTTTTTAAAAAGATATGGTTGTAGATACTGTCTTAGGGATATTGTAATTCCAAATCCTGACAACCCCAAAGCATCTCTTACTGTCTGCTTTGCCTCCCACCAGTCTTAAATGTTCACCTGCAAAGTCACTAGAGATTAGACCTTGATGAGATAAAGCAACTCGAAATGAAAAGAGCAGATGCACACCACACCTCGGTCGGTGGCGCCGCAGTCTTGCTAAGAGCACATTGCTAGGAATAAAAATTTAAGGGGACAAAGTTGACACGTTGCGCCAAAAGGAATGAGATACATTCCAGTGGTGAGCAGCATGGGAGACTCGAGCCTTGGGAGGGGCCTTTGGATGGCGAGACCGGCCGGTGAAAGGGAGGGGAGGTGGTATTTTCTTACTAGGCAGTTGGGCCAGGGACAAATCCCAGTACTTGCGCTTACCTGTCCTGGCAGCCTCCCAGTCTGTCTCACTTGCCCTTCCCTCTCCTCCCCACCAGGCGGCCCTCAGGCACAGACCCAGCCCCTACGTCATGAACCTTCTGGTGCCACCCAGTGGCGGGGTTCTGGTTGCCTCGATGCCCTCAGCTTCCACCTGCCACTGGGAGGTTGGAATCGTGACCCATTCAAGACACGTCTTCCTGCTCATGATGACTGACTTGCTCCCAGCCACTAGCACCTCCTTCATCAGTATGTTTTTATCTATCCAGAGACCAAAAGTGAGAGGTGGATTGGGTGGGAAAGGGCCAGTGGAACCAGACAAGGTGAAAGGGGTCCTGGAAAAAGAGCCTCTGGGAAAGAAGAAACAAGAAATTCGAGGTGGTGCCTCTGGCCCTCACGCAGGCCCTCCTCGCCTGCAGGTGTCTACTTCACCCTGTGCCTGTCCCTGATGGTGGTCAGCCTGCTGGAGACGGTCTTCATCACCCACCTGCTGCACGTGGCCACCACCCAGCCCCTACCCCTGCCTCAGTGGCTCCACTCTCTGCTGCTGTCCTGCACCAGCCCAGGGAGATGCTGTCCCACTGCGCCCCAGAAGGGAAATGAGGGCCTGGGTCTCACCCCCACCCACCTGTCTGGTGAGGGAAGTCACACTTCCTCCTCCCCCACCTCCCCTTCTCCTGCCTCCTTCCCTGCCTCCCCCCCGCCACCCCGCCACAGGTGACATTCGCAGCCCATGGCTGGGTCTCTGTCTTTCTGTAGGTACTAAGGAGCCACAGGTGTCAGCAGGGCAGAGGCCAGGCCCCAGGGAGACAGAGCTGACAGGGGGCTCAGAACGGACAAGGGCCCAGCAGGAGCATGAGGCCCAGAGGCAGCACTCGGTGGAGCTGTGGGTGCAGTTCAGCCACGAGATGGATGCCCTGCTCTTCCGCCTCTACCTGCTCTTCATGGCCTCCTCCATCCTCACCATCATCGGCCTCTGGAACACCTAGGCAGGGGCTCACCTGCGAACTTCAGTCTGGAGCTTCTCTTGCCTCCAGGGGCCAGCCAGGCTCTCATGCCTGTCCAAATTTCAGCCTCACTGCCCTGGCCACCACCTCACTTATGACCCAGTCCTCTCTGTAGTTTCAGACCAGACCAGAATCATTTCCTATGCCCTCCAAAACTCAGATCTTCACTCCTGCATGCCATCAGCCCCACTCAGCCCTCCCAGGAGTCCTGCCTCCCTGGCTCCTCAGGATTAGGTTCCTAGGGGATGTCATTGATTGAATCACCCCAATACACCCCTTTGCAGAAAGCATTGGCTTTTCCCTGAATTATGTTACGGTAAAACATCTTGGGATTGAGAGTCTTCCTGCAGAAACTCCTCATTAGCCAAAGTAAGAAGGAGTTTCTCTTATGTACGTGTGTTTTTAAGTCTATCAGGCATCATGTGAAGTGAGAGAAAGAGAAAAAAAGGGCCAAAATCTATTAGAAGGAATTACAGTAAAACAGAGATTAACTTCCTAAATCCAGTTACGCTGGACTTAAGCTTCAGAAATTTATGTGCGAAAACCAGGCCTCTCCTGAAGCCTTTTGTCACAGCCTGGCACATGACTCATTCGTCATTAAGTACTTAGAGTGTTAACATAATCCTCATTACCGCTAACAGTGTCTGTGTCGCAATTTGAGTTGATCTACCCTTAATCATGCTAGGAAAAGAATATGAGGCCAAGGGAGGCACATTTGAAACTGACAGCTACCGGCCGGTCGCGGTGGCTCACGCCTGTAATCCCGGCACTTTGGGAGGCCAAGGTGGGCAGATCACGAGGTCAAGAGATCGAAACCATCCTGGCCAAGATGGTGAAACCCCGTCTCTACTAAAAATACAAAAATTAGCTGGGTGTGGTGTGTGCCTGTAATCCCAGCTACTCGGGAGGCTGAGGCAGGAGAATTGCTTGAACCCAGAAGGCAGAGGTTACAGTGAGCCAAAATCGTGCCACTGTACTAGCCTGGTGACAGATCAAGACTGTCGAGAGAGAGAGAGAGAGAGAGAGAGAGAGAGAGAAAGAGAGAGACATCTACTTTACTTGGAAGAGACACAAATGGCCCTGTGTGCACTGGAAAGTGCCTTTTCTAACACCCACCTTATTATTTGAAGGTCTGTGTCTAGGGGCCACCAGCTGCCTTGCACAAGTGGAGGCTTCACTGCGCCCCTGGACATGACAGCAGTAGCACCTTTTGGTTCAGAAAAGCACCTATTTGAGAGCAACTTAATTACAACTCAAACATGATCTTTGCTTTTTTCTTTTTTTTTTTTTTTTGAGATGAAGTTTCACTCTGTTGTCCAGGCTGGAGTGCAATGGCGCAATCCCAGCTCCCTCAAACCTCTGCCTTCCAGGTTAAAGCAATTCTCCTGCCTCAGCTTCCCGAGTAGCTGGGATTACAGGCACGAGCCACAGCACCTGGATAATTTTGTATTTTTAGTAGAGACAGGGTTTTTCCATGTTGGTCAGGCAGGTCCCAAACTCCCGACCTCAGGTGATTCACCTGCCCCGGCCTCCCAAAGTGTTGGGATTACAGGCATGAACCACCGCACCCGGCCTGATCTTTTCTTTTTCACAATGATTTCTTTTCATTTCTTTAGTTTATTCTTCTACTTTCTATCTGAAGCCCGTATTCCCCCAAATCATGACCATGTAGGAGTAAAAATAGACTCACAAAACTGTTTGGTAAAACTTATTTCCCTGGCTTCTTTCCCGAACTCCTCGGCTCTCTCTGGTTGCTGGAGATGCTCAAAGGGTAGCGAGGTTGCTGATGACCACCAGAGGTGCTGCTAGTACCTGCCATGTTAGCGGCAAGAGCATCAGCTCGCTCAGAGCCGAAGCCATGAGGGGACTGGATCCTGGAGCTGCAGAGGCTCCACCTCTGCAGCTGGATGCTGCACCCACAGGACAAGCTGCCACTTGCTCTTTCCTTTCGGTTCCACTGGGACTCCAGAGGGGTCCATGGGCATCTGGGTGTTGTCAGAAATACCTGCAATACTCTGAATCCCTCCTGTTACTCAGACCCATTGTCTGCAAACCAAATCGTTTCTCTTCGTTCTCTTTTTAGGATGCATTTTTTGTTTTCCCAAGAGGGTCTTTGGCTCCTGAGTTTCCAGAATGCTGCCACACATTCTTTTCACCATCTCACCCTCCAGGCATGTCCACAGCCTGGAGAATGTACAGCTCTCACATTCACCTGAGTAAATTGCTGTGTCTGTTATTATTTTGGCAGTTCCTCAACTCACAGCTTTCAAAAAGGTGGGCATTCAGAAAAGACACATTAATAGTAATAATAGTACCCACCAGTTATTGAGTTACTAATGTGTAGCAGGCACTCCAAGGGCGCTGTATGAATCCTGATAGTAACCCTGTAAAGTGGGAACCATAGACTCTTGGAAATAGATGCTCAGTGCTGCAAAGAAAAATCAGCCCTGAGACAAAGGATCTTTGAGCAATGCAATTTTTACTTCCTGGACTGCAGGAAGGGCACTCTCACTAGCCATCATGCCATGAGAGTGCAATGAACAAAGGAAAGCAGACAAATCTATCCCTTATACGTTTGGGGTCATCCTTACTGCTGTGCCTGATCTCCATTGGCTGGAGCCAGACCCCACAATCTAAACTAAAACCCGGTTTGCTGACAACTTAAAACATTTCTAAACAGGTAAAAGCAGTGGAGAGCTGGCATGCCTGTGAGCACGTCCAGCACAGACATCTTGGTTAAAGTGCAAGGACATAGAATGTAAGACGTGCCTGTAAGCATGACATGTCTGACAGCTACATGGGGTAGGGCTTCACAAAGTTATTAGCACACTTATTCTTTAACAAGAAAGGAAACTTTAAAAAGGAACTTTTCTACTTCCCACATAGATTCAAAAACCTCTGGAGCCAAATGTGTTTTGGAGTTTGGAATTTTTCAGATTTTAAAAAGGTCATAAGTGTGCATTTATTTACTACATGTCACTAATGCCCCAATGGGGTATGGAGCAGCACCCTGTAACAGACCCATTAGTATTTCTGCAGTGAAATCTGTGAATCTTCTTGATAGGTAGAAAAAAATAAAACTCTGGATAGCCTTGCATCAGTTGTGGTCTGGTTTTGCCACCAAATACTTGTAAAAAGTCTTTTGGTTTTCTAAGCTCTTTAGATTTGAGAACCGTGGTTTTGATTTATTGTTTCCATGTTTCCCTCCAGAAAATGAAGGGAGAGGCCAGCTAGTGGTCTCACAAGGCTCCACTGACCCGAGGCTGGCCGGCTCCTGCAGACCGGACTCCTAACCTGTCTGCTACACTGCTTTCCAAAGTGAGGAGGAACAGGTGCTCGGAGTCCCATATTCAGACATCAGTATCACTTTGAGTCTCCATCAGCTGACACTTCAGGAGAATTAAAACAGGAAGAGCAAGGCGCTGATCAGGGTCCCAAAGACAAACTTTCTTTTAAATTTCCTTTTCCTCCGTCCCCACCTACCCCAGTCCCCGCCCCTATCCCTTACCGGCTACCTTCCCAGCCCTGTCATAAGTCCCAGCGCCAATTCCACTGTGTATACTCTCTCCATTCCTTTCTGGAGGGTGGATTTCCCCAAGTCACCCTGGGGCAATCCATCTTTCCTCTGTGCTCCATCTGGATTTGGGTTTTTTGCTGCTAATGTACGTTCTACTGCCACTCCTATAACCCCATCCTGAGATGGTCATTCTCACTTGGAAACTCATCCTGGACGTTTTTGGAGTTTTGTTTACCCAGCTTTTGAGGGGCTCTGAAATTATTTAAGATCAATTTGCATTATTTTGTCTTCCCCCTATCTTCAGGTACATATTTCTTTCTTTCTTTTTTGAGATGAAGTTTCATTCTGTCACCCAGGCTGAAGTGCAGTGGTGCCATCTCAGCTCACTGCAACCTCCGCCTTCCAGGTTCAGACAGTTCTCCTGCCTCAGCCTCCCAAGCTGGCACTACAAGCATGAGCTACCATGCCTGGCTAATTTTTTCGTACTTTTAGTAGAGATGAGTTTTTGCCATGTTGGCCAGACTGGTCTCAAACTCTTGACCTCAGGTTATCTGCCCACCTTGGCCTCCCAAAGTGCTGGGATTACAGGTGTGAGCCACTGCACCCAGCCAGGTACATATTCCTCTGCTTCGTTTCTTTACATTTTCCCCCAAAATGTCGCTCTAAGTTTTGTTTTAATAGAAAGTCAGCATCTCATCTTCTTTGACACATGGATTGTGAGTCTATATCTCTCCTTTTAGTAAGAGCAGGCATGATATAATTATAGTGATTCTATTTTATTCGCCAGCAGAATCTGAACCTGTGATCCTAACACATCAATGGTAATCATACAGAACCTTTGAATCGGGAGCTCTCCCACGGAATTAACAGGTGTGCCTGCTGCTTTGCTGCTCCATCTACAACTGAACCATATGATGAGTACATTCTGTGCTAACGACTTTCCTCTTGTTATCTGGCAAACCTCTGAAAGGCTTTGCAAGTAATTTATGACCGCTCTAGAAACCCTGCTGACAGGCTCTGGTCCCGCTGTGCCACCTGCACTGATGGCCTGTTTCTGCCTGGCAGCTCCTTACTTTTTTCATTCGTCTGCAGTGCTATCCTATGGTTCTCACAGTTCACTTTCACATTTTTTTTTTTGAGACGCCAACTTTTTTTTTTTTTGTCACCCATGCTGGAGTGCACTGGTATGATCTCCACTAACTGTAACCTCCGCCTCCCGGGTTCAAGCTATTTGCCTGCCTCAGTCTCCCGAGTAGCTGGAATTATAGGCACCTGCCACTACACCTAGCTATTTTTTTTTTTTTTGTATTTTTACTAAAGATGGGATTTCGCCATGTTGGCCAGGCCGGTCTTGAGCTTCTGACCTCAAGTGATCCACCCTCCTCAGCCTCCAAAGTGCTGAGATTACAGGCATGAGCCACCACGCCAGGCCCACTTTCTCATTCTCTAAACCATTATAAGCAGTATTTTGGCCAGGCATGGTGGCTCATGCCTGTAATCCCAGCACGTTGAGAGGCCAAGGCAGGTGGATCCCTTGAGCTCAGGGGGTCGAGACCTACCTGGGAAACAGGATAACCTCATCTCTACAAAAGACATAAAAAATTAGTCAGGACATGGTGGCACGCTGGGGTCCCAGCTAATTGAGAGGTTGAGGTGAGAGGATCTCTTGACCCCGGATGTTGAGGCTGCAGTGAGTCGAGATCCTGCCACTGCACTCCAGCCTGGGTGACAGAGTGAGACCCCCCGCATTTCAAAGAAAAAAAATGATGGGCTTGGTGGCTCATGCCCAGTACTTTGGGAGCCAGGGTGGGCAGATCACCCAAGGTCAGGAGTTTGAGACCAGCCTGGCCAACATGGTGAAACCCCGTCTCTACTAAAAATACAAAAATTAGCCAGTCATGGTGGCAGTTGCCTGTAATCCTAGCTACTTGGGAGGCCGAGGCAGGAGAATCGCTTGAACCCGGGAGGCAGAGGTTGTAGTGAGCTGAGATCGTGCCATTGCTCTCCAGCCTGATCTATTTTCTTTTGATTCCATGTGAACTTCACACTAGAATATTTCTCTCCTTGTCTTCTTTGCTCCCCCACCCCTCCCTCCAGGTCTGCTCTAGGGTGTGAAGCCGCAGGCATTATTTCAAGGCTGTCCTTTTCCTCCTCTTCTATTTGTGATTCTCTCTTTGATAACCTCTCTTATTTGACAGTTCACAGGCCCTGGTTCTTTTATACAGCGGGAAAAAACCCAAAAGTACAGTAGAGAGAAATCAGGCGTCTGACAGTCCTGGGTTTCTAATCTGATGCCCTTACT